TGAAGTGGAACCGTAATATAATGTCGTTCAAGAAAATCCCTTAAACTAAACATCATTGAACATCATAGAAGCAAGTCTGAGGCCACGGGTCCCACTCGAAGTACGCTGAAGTACCTCCCGTTCAAACCGGTCGCGTCGCTCTCGCAGAATGCCCTCCTGCTCGAGAGAATGTCCATTCACTGCCTCCGTTTCGGCGCCACAGACGGGTTGGGCGCACCAGTGTGAGCCACTGGCAGTGGAAGAGTTGAAGAGCAGATAGTTTTGACCATTCACAGGCTGACAGCATCGAACTTACAAAGTTTGAAGCCATGGTAGATCATGGTAGGCTTGTGTTTCTGAAGGCTTTACCCATAAGCCGCCAGCGGCTTTCTTGGGCGGCAGGACTGGGTGAGATGGCCACTCATCTTTGTGAATGAGAGTTGCTGTACCAGGCCCTTCCAAGAATAGCCTTTTAGAGGTTAAGGGGTGTCCCAAAACCACCTGTTGGAAGGTCCTGTTGGAAGGTCCTGGTATGCAAGTTGTTGCACTATTTATGATTATTTATGTGTGGGTTCTGGCAATGACTTGTGTATCGAGACTGCTCTTCCCGGCACAGGGACGTGGTTTCAACTGGGCGATTGGGGGAGGGACAGTGACTGATTGCATGCACAGTGGCTACCAATGTCAGAAACATTACATAGATCGTAGAACCTCATAGAAATAATATATAGCTCAGTTGAGCAGTTGAACCAATGAATCTGACAGGACAGGCTGGTAACTTAGTAACAATGCTTGGCAACCCAGCTTAGAATAACCATCCGAATGCAGCGGCCTTTTCAAGCCCTTTTTCAGGGTCTCCTAGCCGTCCTAGCCCTTCATTAAGGCCTGCCCGCAAGACGGAGCCACCAGATACCAACGAGCAGAAAGGTATCCTATCCTTCCTTTGTTTGGTTCAAGCTGCGCGTAAAACCAGTGTAAGCAGCCTTTGGCTGATTTTGGTGAGGATGATTAAAGCTGGTACACACTGACTTTTTTTCGCATGGAAGTGGAGCCGCTGTGTAGTGTATTTGCACAAGAACATGAGCAGCGCTCAACCAACGACATTTATATATAAGTCTCTTATATTCAACATTTAGATAGAAATATTTTACTGTATATATAAGCGTTATAAGTTCAGTCACTCTTACTCATATGCTGCAAAGAATTGTCTACTGTAAGTCTCCCTCCGCGCGTGCTTTCCCACCACGCGCCGCTGAGACCTCACTCTGGAACACTTTTCCCCAGCTGTGCCTCGGCCAAATTTCTTCGAGACCGAAGAAGTATGCCATCCCTAAAGCATGATAATGTAGACTCTTAATGAACAAACCCTCTCATAAAGAAGGGATTTCGCAATCCAAATCTGGGGTGATAATTAGTCACAAGACCTCTTGCATTAAAAGAAACCTTTAAAGCTTGGAAGGCCCGGTTGCTCAGGAGGGAGCGACTGAGGGTTGCCGGAGGTATCCATATTGCCGCCCATTAAGGGGTCCAAGGAGCTACAGGGAGTTCCCCCAACGCCTGGCTAGACAAGACCTCGGGGGAGGATGTTCGGAGGTTTGATGCGGTGCTTGTTCACGCTCGGCCCGGGGCCGTGTGCTTTTGTTCAAGTCCAGTCTTAAGATGAAAACAAATCCAACACCTCTTGGGATTGCCACCCACTGTGACATCATACTTATCATACTTGGTTAGGCTGTGGCAGTCAAAGGCTTGTTCTAGTTTCTTTGGAGAAAATAGAGCGGGACAAGGCTCACTTGAGAAGTGCTCTCCAAAGCTGTGTGTTGCTGACAAGCCTCTCCTTTGGCCAAGTAAGCCAACCAGAAAGATGATTGGTGGAGATGAGCCAACTCGAACAGCTGGAACTTCGGACATTACTCCAAGCCGCTTACCCCAAGGTTGCTTGCATCAGCTGTCCACAAGCCGTCACTTACGCCAACCTCGAACTCAATTCTGATCAAACGTGTATTACTTACGGCAGGACAAGCTCCTCGTGGAGCCAGCATCGGCCCCCGGCTGGACTTGGAAGCCATCTCAAGTGATGCGAGTTCCCTCGCACCGATGCGCACCATCGTCCGTTGCCTCGAACCACCGAAACGCGCCAGTTTCCCGTGAAGCTGGCTGAGAAATGCCCCCCTTGGGGGGAGATTGATGAGATCATGAAGGAGATGCGCTTCGGCGTGCCTTCCGTGTGCCGTTGGAGTGTTGGGCTAAACGACGCTGGTGACCAGTGTAGTTCAGGTATATTCTATTCGCACCCCTGCCGGCAAAGCTGTTTTCATATTCCAACCTTTTTTTCACAAAAAATAATATATAAATACCCTTGACTGTGCATCACGTTGACTCTATAGATTAGCTGTCATGCCGGACAAAAGCACAATCACATTCTAAAACCGCAGTGGTATTGTAACATAATGTAACATACAAATACAAATATCAATATATAGAGCTTATTTATGACACAAATGGAACAACAAGCTTGAGGTTACAAGACCTCTTTTTCGATGGTATTGTCGGAGCTGAAGGATGACAATGGGAAAATGGCTGGTGATAAGTCATAAGTGCACCGGAAAGAATGCAGAGAGAGAGAGAGGGAACAATAACAAAAACACATGCAGTGGGGATCTGTTAATTCTGTGCGCCTTTGGGGGGCCATGTTCTGAGTCCAGAAGCCTCTTGTCCGCGACAGGAGCTGTAGCTGAAAGCGCTTGCTTTGCGCATGTTGTCCATCGTTTTTTGCGTGGGTTGGTCCGCCAGAAGTGTAAGATCAATCATTTTGTGAATCTAGTATGATTCCAGTCACTTCAATTAGATGAACACATCCGCACGGGATTCTTGTTTTGGTTTCTGCGCGTGGACATGGGCTGCCCTCAGATGACTGGCTCAAATTGATTGGTGCGGAGCGGTCCCGTGAGTAGAGGCATGGTGAGCTGAGGAACGAATGAGATTGAAACGTCTTGAAGCTGGAGTTTGGTGATATACATGAATCATCATGAAACAAGGCACGATTTGCTGGCATGCTACGAAGTCACCAGCAAAAATAATAGTATATAGACCTACCAGCACCCGACTCTACAGGTCTCCGAAATGGTGGCTTTCGGAGGCTAACAGGTGGCAGGTGGTGATACCGTCCCTGGGTCTACACAGCGACAGTTGCAATCATGTTCCGGATGCAGCCATGCATGTGTCACAGACTCCTTAAACAATCAATAATGCTGAAGAGGATTCACCACACAAAATTGACACTTGATACACATGGTACTTTAATGTACCCAGTACCCATTTGAACACCTTTAGAAATGAGGTCCACATGCAGTAACACCCCGAGATTTAGGCCAATCTCAGAGGTTGATTCAGGGGTCCCATTTTTCAATCACACCCACTCAGATACTTGAACATTCCGAGCACAAACACTAGCACTAGTTTCGAGCTAAAAGCACCCTACACACCCTCAAAATGGTCGTGCCATGTCATGCCTCAAACATGGCCATATCCCCTTTTGGGAGTACACATTCGGGTGCTAAAAGAGGCGGTATGTTCATGGTTCCTTCCTTGTGTGGCCCTGAAAATATGTTGTTGGTCGGGGGCCCTGCTGCGCCCTGCTTTGCACTGCCGCTTTGCCACAGGCGATGTCGCTGCTGATAGAGCCGCTCAACAAGGCTTCTTTAAGAAAGACATGATTCGTCATTGCTTCATCAGCAGCGAGGAGCGTTCGGGTTAGGCCCTCAATGTTCATTCAACCACTCATCAGAGGGCCTATGTAGGAGAACCTTTACAACTCTGAATGCCGCAAGGTGCGTCAAATCACGAAAAGAACTTCAACGAAGTGAATCCCAGACAACTCCATGCATGTATTAAATGTATGTACATGTATGCCATACTCAACATGCCGACCACATGGAGTGGTTTGGAGGGGCAATGTAGGCATATATTTCATACCTTAGGGCTCCAAATGCCCTCCAGGCACCTACCCCAGTCCCACGTCCCACCTTCAAAGAGGGTACGGCTGGAGCCCTAGGGCAAAGTTCACCAAACCTATCATCTACACTTGGGAAGAGACCCAGATGGAACCAGGTGATGGACCAGACTGGTGTGTGGCCAGCACGCCTTCCACGGAATCCATCTCGCAGCAGGGCCCACCGAGGTCGTTGGATTGAGATGCAGCTTTGTTGGAAGAATCACGGTGGCCTATCATGGTTGAAAGGGTCGACCTACCGAAGAACTGCGATGTTACTCCTGTACGAAAAGCAGAAAAAACCACAGTAAAATCGCAGTCCTTACCATAGAACTGGTGGTGAAGGCCAGTAAAGTTGTTCAGTTTTACAAAACCAGGTCAGACTTTGAATGGTCGAACTGAAGGCACTGAAGGAAGTGTGACCCGGTTTCGACACCGGAGGCCGCCTGCATTCGCAATCAGAAGGAGCGTTTGCTTCTTCTAGGGCCGCTTGGCATAACCAGAGAGGTGATCATTTGTTGGCAACGGACCTTCAGCATCCCTTGTGTCAACAACATGTCGATCTTGTTTTGATGTACCACCGCAGTTCGTTTGTTGGCAACGAGCGAACTGGTCAGAGGGGCACTGCCCGCAGGATTTCGGATCAACCGCGAACGCAGATGATAGACCTTGCTTCTGTCAAAGTGATCCGTTCGTTTGGCAGACCTATCACACACACACACAACGTGACCGGCTTCCTATACTGTGCATTCCTTGGAAGTTTGCAGCGTCGTTGGATGCAGACACACTTTTACATGCTGTAATGCTGAAGCTTATTTCTATGGCCCTTCTGGATCCAGCATAATTAGAAGCAATACGTCAACTCAATTTGAACGCCGCTCTTGTCCAATCTGGCCCGTCTTGGCAACATCGCTACTGAACGAATTCATGAAATGTGCAGCGTTGTCCGGATGTCAGATGTACAAATCGAAAAAGATGTCTAAGTTGGATCTTCTTTATACCCACACCTGTGGTTTCAATAGTCTGGTAGCAAGCTCCTGTGGATTCGGAGTTCTTTTCTTTGTCACCGTTCCTGTGGGTTTTCGCCATGGGCGGGGCGAACCGCGTGGATGAACTGGGCAAAGCGCATGGTGCTAAAAATGCACCGCACTGCGGCAAGCTGACAGCTCATCCTGAAACTTGGGATGCGTTTGTGTGTGTGAACTTTTTATGGTTTCCAGGGTCCAAAGGTATTCAAAGTAGCTGGGATTTTAGAAGAATAGACAAAATCAAATGCTGATGATTGTGGTAAAGATTGGTAAAGCAAACGGTGTGGCGTTGACTGAGATTGAAGACTTCGGCTGAAGAATTCTCAGGCAATGCAAACTCGGCAGACCTGGCAGAAATCCCAACCTGCGGGGCCTCCAAATGACCTAAGAGACACTCGACCCCTACGAAAACCACCCCGAATGGCGCTTGTAACCTTTAACCTTTGGGGGATGCATTTCGCCACGGATTTTTTCTTCAGCTGGAACATGGTGTTGACACGTAAAGGCTATATATTTGCAGCATGGCAAGCGTTTCACTTGCTTGACGGTTGAACAGATGGAAAAGGATTAACTGGCATTTTTGCGGGGAAACGGCTCGGGGCTTAGGAATTGGGTCCCAGAATCCGAGGGCTATCGGGTTGATCGGGTTGGGGGCTGGTCAACTCTGAGGATCCGCTACTTGTTCCTTTCCTTTTTTGTTCAACTCATTTGCACAATGCTGCGGGGGTCGGCAGGTCCAAAAGTAGCGGGTAGAGTGGTACGTTTGATATCGTTTGATGACTTTTACCCCCCCCCAAAAAGGTGCTGGTAGATAGATCCAGTGGGAAGTGGCAACCAGCCCAAGATGGCACAAAGGTTTTTTGCACGAAAGATGGTCCAACATCCGAGTGAAGCGGCGGGCCATTTCTGGTTCTCACCGGGGTGCCGCGATGCACTGCGCGATGCTTGGTGACTCGGAACCGATGTCGGCCGGCACCGGCCAGGAAGGGATGGGCTCGCTGCTGAAGCCAACGGAAGGCACCGGTCTACGTGCCACGTGCCTTGAGATGATGTCGGACTTCCGGGGCGCAGTCTATATAAGTGACATTAAGTGACGATTGTGGATGCATGAGGAATGGAGCTTCTGCTGGTCATGGGTGTGGACACTTGCATCATTGCCCTTTTCCCATTTTGCACGCGAGCAAGCTTGAGGATTTTCAATCTCTCGAACACCATCATGGGAGGAGGCGCGTTGCGCGAGTGCGGTCTTTATATTTTATGCGGCGTTTGTGTTGTCAAGTTTGAAGCCTTGGCTCCTGATTTTCATTAGTTTACAAATCCTGGTTTCTTAGATGATCTGAGAAGCATCTTGGGACGTTGTTCCACAAACTCAGCAGCCGCTGGAAAGCGAACGTCGTTGCTTGGAGGCATTCTTGGCTTACCGCATGCCATTGCTCGACTTGGTCTTGTGGCGGGCATCAGTCTCCTCATCGCCACTGCTGGGCTTTGCTGCATCACAGCTCCTTCTTGGGTATATAAACACACCAAAGCAGGTGCTTTCGATTGTGGTTATGCAGAGATGTAGTATTCATAATTATTCATATTTATATGGCATGCTTTTTGTACAAAGCTACGCAATCTTAGGTGAAGAGTGTTCCAACGCCCTTTGGGGAGGGATCCGAAAATCATTCTCCAGAATTGGGTTGGGGTCGTGCATTCCCTGAGACCATCAGGAAGAACGACCGGCACTGCCGGTTTGGTCATCCGTTCGGGGCCATGCCATCCACGTAACGACGAGACTTTTCAAGGAGCGTAGGTCATGTTATGTCATGTTGCACTGTGCCTAATTGTATCTAAAGTTATATCCCTACAAGATCCTACAGGTCCAAAGGTCCAGTAAAACCTTTTCTTTTTGTTTAAACCTCCTTAAGTATTGGTTTTGTGTGACCATCTCCAGTAAAATGAGGTTTTTGACTTGTAGGTATCCTCAACACCGGCGACCCGAAATTCCACGTTTCTTTGTGAAATGGTTCCAGGCCCAAGCACTCCGTGCATGGAATATATGCCAGGGCCAGACAGGCCCCAGGTCAACCACCCCTGGCATGTATATATGCCAGGCCCAGACAGGTCGTGTTGGGGAGTTTGACACTTGGAACGCCCGAGTTCGCCGAGTTGTCGCATCCAGGTTTGGATGCTCCTCGTGGCTATGGAGGAGACACGACAGAAGTCCTACGCGGAAGTGGCGAACGTCCTACATGGCCCACGAGCGGGCATCCTGGTGGATGTGTCCTGGCGCATGTCATAACAATCAAAACAGGTGGCAAACGTGCTGTTTTTGTGGCCTACAGCTACCCACCCCATCCAAAGGCTAATTGAAATGGCAACCAAACCACTGACCCATTGGCGGCCATTGGTGTGGTTATTTGATGCTACCCAAGATGGACAAGCTCCGACTTGGGCCCTTTTAAAGGGTTGAGCCACGTTTGCTGCCAGGTCACCATTGCATTGTACAACTTTGGGACACTGGTGTCCTATGTTGCTTGGTTGCATGGCCGCTTCATCTATGGGGACGGCCACTTCAACATACTTCAGCTATTTGATTGACATCTCCCCACAGCCACCAATCATTTCCCGTCACGAGGATGTCATCACCAAAGGTTCCCTTCAAGTCTGACCAAGGACCCCCCGAAGAACAGATCCTTCGGTCAAGGGGATCTGTGCAAAAGATGTATGAAAAGCAACGTGTCCGATGGAGTCGTGTGATGACCAGCACGTAAAGAGTCAAGAGCAAGTCATGGAATTGGGCGAAGCACCTGCAAACAGATCTAGAGATCAGATAGGTCCCCACGCTCAAAAGCAATATGCATGCCACGTTTTGGGGATATGTTCAGCTTTGTAGTGGCTCGGACCTGATGTTCCAACAAGGACGCGCATGTTCTTTGTTCGGGAGTTTTTTGAGTATCCACTTGAAAAGTGGATCCACCGCTCCCATCTCTAGGATCCAGGATGGACGATTTGCACAAAAATCACTGTCAAATGATGGATGTCCGGGTAAAGCCAACTGGGACCTTGGTTGCCACCAGCCCGGGAAAGCCCACAGTCGGCACTTGTGCCCCTCCTTTGTGGGTATCCCGGAGTTAGAAACGAATAGAGTGGCGATTGACCTGCAATCCCTGAAACGATCATGGCAGTGGAAAACCACCTGTTTGTAGAGGATCATTATAGTCATCCAAGGGGCCATGCCGTGGTCGAGTGTAAAGTCAGTACACATCCACAATGTCCTTGAAAGCACAAACATCACATCCAGGAAACATGCTGCACCTTGGGACTTTGTGACGTGACCTGTGACCGACCCGCAGCTCGAAGCCAACTCGGACCCGCAGAAGTCCTCGTCGTTCCTACGCCGTGATGACGGCGTATGGCACTGAGCGGTGCCCAGGTGATGATCATCGGCGATGTGGTGCCATCTTTCCTGGGCTTCTTGAATGCGCCTGAAGCGCTGCAGGATCGCACGCTGGTCTTGGTGCTCTCAGCCACTGAGCGTGAGGAGGTCACAAGAGCGTGGTCAGGATCGGGGACTTTTCCCTTACAACATGCGCTGTCCTAGGTCCACCATGTCAATGTCAACATTTGTATGTTTTTGTGGCCCTTTTGAAGGAACCCACTTGGTTGAAGGTGGATGAAGGGACTTCATGCCAGGCCCATAAGGAGCTGCGCTCCGGATCAGCCCTGGCTCCTCCGGATCCGCGTTCGTTCGAAAGGCGTTTCGACAGCTGCGGTTGGGCTCCAAGGACCTCAGAAGGTATGACTGGACCCACCAAACCCTTCCCAAACACCGACAGTACCGAAAATAAGGAGGTACTCGTACTTGGAGCCCGAGCTGCACTGGTCATCCGAACATCTCGTTGAAAGAAGAAAGATTTTCCTCCATCACTGCCCTGGGCGAACAACCTTTTTCGAGCATTCCAGGAGGGTGCCACATGCATATCTTATGGGGGGCCGATCAGTTTTGCAGAAAGTAATCTGACAAAATGACTTGTTTTTTTGGATGTTATTCCTCGGTGATACCTGCAGGGTAAATGACACCAACCTTGCCTTAAATGATTTGGACGATATCAAGCTGGTGTACATATCCTATTTAGGGCCTTCTTGGGATGCAATCTTGATCAAGTCAGCTGCTGGAACTTGATTGCTTTAGTGAAGGTCCCCATATACCTACCGTGATGACTCACTTTGCATCACTTTACCCGAGGATAGGACCAGCCCAGGTGAAACAAGGACTTGTGGTACCTTGAGGTACCTTTTTGCACCTCTTGAAAGCAGAATGCATGCAGCATAGGTTTAAAGGCCTAAGCGGCCTAAGCACAACTGCTGGATTTCCTTGGTGAATATGTGTTTGCGCTTTACTGAAAGTATCTACCATGCATTGGTCTTGCATTTATATACTATATTAATATATTGCGTACACGGCGGAGGCCTGTTGCTGTTGAGATATAGTATTATTAGTCCCACAAGCGTTCTCTTTCTTTTTTTGCGGTACACCCTCCCCAGAACTAACATGGAACCCTGGAAGGGGAAGCTCTATCCCACGGTAGATAAATTTTCCTATCTTTTCCCCATCTCAATTCCATCAGGCTTTGGTGCTCTTCCCGTTGAGCTCAATGCCGAGCATGGGCGCCTTACGGCATGCCTCCTTGGTTTGTCCCTGACTGCTGATTAGGTGGACATGGCCAGAAACGGCCGAGCCGGGGTGTTTAACATGTGATCGGCTCATAGATGGTGCAGCGTACAGGTGAGTATGGTACCCAAGTTGGACCACCCGTGGTGATCAACCGCGGTCGACGGCGGTCGATGACTTAGCCAGCCACGAGCCGAGCGCCAGCCAGGTGGTGAATGGACCGACCCGTCCCGACCGGCCGTCGCCGTTTCTGGCCATGCGACGTTCTTTTCTCGTTTCTCCTGTCGAAGACGAAGACGCAATTATCCAAACAACATGGTTTTGCTGAGAGTTGGTTTGAAAAGACATGTCCATGTGGAAGAGCAAGGTAGCAAGGCATGCCACATTATCCATTGCTTGGTCCATAATGTGGAGCACAACTCCCCTCAAAGGCTGTTTCTGACCCATTTCACTCCATTGATACTTGAGTTTCTCCTGTGAGAAGCCCAGCTCCCAACTCCTCCCTTTGCGCTTGCGTTCCCAACATCTGGTGCCCAACATGTGTTTGCTTGGCGCATATGGCGCATGCACCGAGTCCGAAGGCGGAATCGCCCGGATCCATACTCCATCCGAGGCATTCTGATGATCGCATGCCTGTCCTTGGCCTTGGTATTGCTGGGGACGAAGACCATCGATGTGTCCAAAGACTCCTATGGCCCAGTGGAGCTCTGGAGCGACGACCTCTTAGGCGTGTTCCGAACTTGGGGTGACCGAGAGGAGTCGGAGGTGGACGATGTGTTTGGAACCCGCTGGTCCAGGCTATTCACATGTATTCAGATATGTATGTGTATATATATCTATAGGGGATGATTTCGGACAGCCACTTTTCGGACAGCCAATGTCAACATCTGCACCCAAGGTTCCTTTGACCCAAGACGAACGCGTACTTCTTGAAGAATTGCTTGAAGCAGTCCATGTGCATCAAGACATTGAAGAAGAAAACGATCGTCTCCGGCATGAAAATGAACTTCTCAAGCAGGAACTTGCCCAACTGAAGCGCGCGCACTTCTTGTAGTTAGGAACTACTGTCTGACTGTCTGAGAAAATTAGTCAAAGCGCGCGCGGCCGAAACCATCACGGAACCATCTATATATATCAACCAGTTGGGTAAATTAATGAGCACAGGTGATACCCTGCACAGAGGAATGCACGCCTTGTCAGCTTTGGTGCCAGTTGCAGCTGCAACATTTTGGTGGGTCCTTGCCAGGCATAACTGTCAAAAAAAACGCAGGCCCAAACCATGCAGGCTTCGCCACACAGCTCCCGGTCTTGATCTTTGCGTACACCTGCAACATGAACGTACCCATCTTCTACGGGGAGCTGCGAGCTCAGACCTACGAAAGCTTTGACAGCAAGTTCAACTCCAAGAGGGACACTTGCTGCTGAACGTGCGGGGTGTTTATGGATGCCCAGAACCTGCACATATACCTGTAGAGACAATACCTTGGTTCACTGCAACATACGTAGATGATTTTGTAGCAGCACTTTCCTTTGCTTCGATTCACAATTGTGAAGAGCAGCACCACTACTTTAGAATGTTGACTAATAGAACCCCACTGATTGGAACCTCTTCTTCATATGGGGTGTTGAAATATAATCAGTGTATATAGTGAAGCTTCCCGTGACAGTGGCATCTCCAAAAGATGTCTCTCCTCGAGCTGATCTTGAAAGAGCCCCAACAAAACACTGGCGTGCGGGGTCTGAAATCCATCCACTACGGTCTGAAATCCATACACTTTGTTTAAACTCGCCTTTAGATTTGTGGGCCGGGATGGGTGATTGGCCACAGCGGTTTGGATCTATAGCTGGGAGGCGTGGTTCTTTGAAATGCTGTTCTGCATGTTTTTTGTTTAACTATTGTTTGGGAGTTTTTAGATGCAGCAACTAATTTAGTTCAAGCCATTCAAGTCACAGGCCTTCGGCAGTTTGGGTAGGACTGTTAGATCAAGAATGTTGGTGGATGCATGTTTGGCAATTATTGGCCAATACACTCTCTACACACCTCAAGAGCCTCAAGATGCAGTAAGGGGTGCGAGAAAAGGTCACAACTTTGCCACGGGATCCAGCTCCTGAAGACACTCCATGTTCGAAGTGTGATGAGATCGACCAAGTGAAGTTGGTCGCTGCGGCACCTTTCCTCCGGACGAAACGGGAAAAAGAAACCTTTGGGAGAGCTGAACTTCACCAGGAAAAGATGATGTTCGCCATGTACTTCAGCTCCCTGCTGTGCTGTGTGGAGTATCTCTTGGTGGCCGTCTTCGGGTACTTGGCGTTCCGACGGCACACGGCGCCCGACATCTTGACGAACTTGCACGAGGACAGGCACGTGAGGGTTGGAATCAGGCAATGAACAGTGACCATGCCTACCACTCAGCCACCACCACCAACAACAGCAGAAATCTCTTCAACTTCAACTGACACCAGCAACAACACCCCACAAGCACCAGCACAACACCAGCCGGGACAGTCGCATCATCGAGGAATCTCAGTCCGTGCCGCCTGCCTCAGAGGAGCGGTTTGCTGCAGCGCCATATGTGAAGGTGGGCTACTCCTTGGTGATGTTCACCTCATATCCAGTGACTCAACTGAATTACCCAGGAAAAGTGGATCATCTACAAAACCTTTTGGGGGGATTTGTTTCCTCACTACATATGATGAACAAATGGAAAGCGGTTAACTTGTTATTTTCCAGGGAAACTGACGGGGTCAGGAATTGGATCAACTCGGCGCCCTTCCGGCATCCCCTAAGCCCATTGAAACACCCTTCTCACTCCGCTCAGCTGTTTCGATGGAATGGTTGATTTAATTTGCGTCATGAAACAGGCCATAGTTTTTTCAACATGTTTCAACAGAGGGTTGAGTGAAAGAAGCATTTGAAGAGTTAATCAATAATTGAAACACGCGTTAATGTTCATGGCATTCACCTTATTGAAGATGGTTGAGACATCTTGAAAACTGAGTTTCTGGCAGTGTTTCAACAGCAGATTTGCTCACGGGATTACTCCGTGACATTGCTGAGACAATCTGAGAAGTGGGAGCTGGTAACATGAGGTGAAGAATGGTGAAGAGCAGGAACTTGACACCCACCAGTGATGATCAGTACTAGCTATATTGTTTATTGATATTTAGTGCATTCTTTCTGTACTCCATGGCCAGTTGTATTTCCCTTGGCCTTTCAGCCTTGGGCTTTCAGCATCGCATCCTGCATCGAACTACCAGGAGGTTTCACTTGTCAGTCCCTGTAGCGCTTGGGAAATGCCCAGCCTTTGAAACGGAACACGGCGAATCTGGCAACACCGCCCCCACCTCCCATAGCTATCATCGAAACATATCGAAACAATCGCAATCATACCTTTCTTTCGCTGCAGCTCTCTCTCAAAAAAACGAAGTCACAAACGCTTTTGGTGTTTTTTTGCATCAGCGGTGCTTTTTACTTTGGGCAGGTGATGTGTTTCAGTTGTGTGGCCTCCCTTCACCGCCTCTTTTGGGAGTTCCGCTCCATGCGTCTCGGACGCTCCGTGCGCGCGCGCCGTTCCGCGCGCTGACATGCGGACGTGGTCCCGCGCGGATGTTCGATGTTCTTCTTCATGGGGAAAGCGGATGGAATCCCATTTGTGGCCTGTTGGTCTGGAAGACTTGATAGAATTCAGATGTAGTCCCCGCTTGCTAGCGACACCCAAATAATACTTACTAACTGACTACATTAAATACCGCCCCAAACCCAGAACGATAGTGATGAAAGCTGTGTCTCGATGAGTTAGTGTGCTGTTAGACACCTGCCCCGGTAGATTTTGGACAAGACGTTTGCAGAGTTCAATTGTATCACGGCATCACTGATTTCCGCATCTAAGTGTTGTGTGGCAACGCGAGTTCTCTTTCTTGAAGCTCATGGCAACAGGGGGTGTCGACCGTCATGCCTGGTGTCGACCATCATGCCTGGGGGCTCAAGAAATGCATTTGTTGCCTTTGGTCCAGGTGCTGCCAGTCGGTCCAGGTGCTGCCAGTCTCCAAGGTGTTCTTCAGCACCATTTCTTCAGGTGTACTAAGACATTTCTATGCAACTAGAGTCCGAGCAGATTTGGCATGCTCAACTTGTAGACATCAAACCAACGGGAAGCTTCCTTTGTTGAGTTCAACAAGAATACCCCTACAGAAAAATCACATCAGCAGCTACTGTAGCTAGGCCCCATGGTCCCATGCTCTGCCTCCCATGGTCCCATGATTGAAGGTTTGGCGATGATGACCATGCCTACAAACGCTTTGAAGCGTGCAGTCCAGCTGTGCAACATGACAGCCCACTCTCGCCATGCGTCTTTGCAACACCGTACCGATGGCCAGGCGACATGGCTATAGCAATGATGTCCAATGTTCATGGTGCTAACCCTTTGTCACTTTTTTAAATGGTTTGTGTGTCAAATTGATGGTTTGGTGGCTGTAGCTGGGGACATCGCCACCAGCACAGACACACGTGTTATTGTTCTTGTTCGTTGGATTGTTTCTTTATTGAATTGGGGACGACGGTTTGACGCTCCTGACTTGGGCTGCGGTGATATCACTCAGCATGAAACAGACCGCTTTCAGGTCCTAAGCCTCTTTTTCGGCAGGGTAGATATGGACACGGTTTTTGGTGATTGATTTCTGCGAGCCCAACGGATGTCCAAACTACCAGGTCCTTGCAGCAACGCTAAGGAGAGAATCATTTGAAGGAGCCCGCGGAATTTGTGAAGAAGGACAAAGTTGCGACATGTCACGCAAAACCATGCAACACCTGCTGTTGAAAACAAGCCCGGAGGGAAGGCCCCTCCAAAGAATTTGCCAACAAATCAGCGGACATCCGTGGGCACAGGATCAGGCTGGCATCTCTCCACCCGCGCCCACCCTCTGGGAGCGCTTGCTGTTGGTTTTGGCCTTGGTCTCAAGTTCCATCCTACTGGCGGCGGTCTTGCCGGATCTCTCGGTGGTCTTCGGTCTGACAGGCCAGGCCTTTTGCGGCAGGTGTCTGGAGCATTTGGTTTGAGACTCTTGATAGGTTGAGACGATTTCAGGTGTTCAGGGCTCCATCCATGCTTTGACTGCCCCCCCCGAATTGATGGTCGCGGATTGAACGATGTGACAGCCTCAAGATGTCCAAATTCATTCATTCCCAGACACTCCATGTATGCCATATATGCCTACATTGACCCCCAAAACCACACCAATGTAGGCATATATGGCATACATGGAGTGTCTGGGATTGACGTTTTTTCAGAGAATCATGGACCGTTTCGCGCCCTGAACAGCGGGAAGAGTCACTGGGTTTACCCCTCCCATCTAAAACCGCCGGCTTCGTGAGGCGGTTTTTGCGGCGGATTGGTGACGTTCTGCTTCCCTGCGATGTTTTACATCCGGGTGGCCAGTAAGAAAGGCGAGCGCCGCTTGGCCTTGAAAAAGGGGCTCAACCAAAAATGGAATGCGAAGAAGTGAATCATATGAAGTCGCAAGATCTGCACTGGTTTCCGCAACAATTTAAATTGTCACGACCAACGACGTCCAGAGGCAGCCCAAAACAGACAAACTCGGTCCCTCTTTTTGCGCTTTTGTTTGTTTTGGGGGGGGAGGGAGGGCGACCCAGGCAGAGGCTAGACAGAATTGGTCCTAAGACATCTTCGAAGCTCAACGGTGCTGTCCACTAGATTTCGTAGATGTGCACCACTCGAAGGGAAATATCAAGGAACTGAGGCGAAAACCCGTGGATTGGTGCTTTAGAGATGTATTATGACGTGCTCTAGCCTCTATCTCTGTGAGGTGGTTGGGGCTATTTCTAAATGTTTGGGGACTATTTCTAACATCTACCAGAACTATTTCATAAATTATTGTGTTTTGAGGTTAGGTTCAACACAACTTATATGTAAAGTAATATGCAATATTACAATGTCAATGTGAAGTGAGCATGTAAGATATATTGCTGTGTCACAAGTGAGCTCTCCACTCCCCCCTCTCCCAAGAGGCAACTGCTGCTGCACTGCTGTTTTTTTGCACTTGCTGACTGTTGGTTGGTCTTCATCCAATCCTGCCACTTGCCACGCCCTGTCAACAAAACATGGAGTGTGTGTACATGTACTTCTCGTACAGTTTTGAAAAAACCGTTTGCCAGTGTAGTGTATTTGTTACTTGTTGCCAGCTCTCCAAACAGGGTTGGGCAATCTAAGGCAGAACGAGATGCCAAACACTGACCATGAACTGCCCTGAACCATGTCAAAATCATCTGAGCCTACACAGTCAGCCGCTTCAGGCCCATACTGTCTCCCAGCTCAGGTCCCTGGAAAAACCAAAAGCGCTCAGCCTCTGGTCACTGCCCCTTCCTTTTGCGAGTTTGCCCCTCGGTCTTCTTCTTCTTCTTGGGAGCCTCTGCATCATCGTTTGCATCTTTGTCCTTGCCCCTCTTTCTTGTCTTCTTCTCAGCTGGTCCACCCTTGGTCTTGGTATCCTTGCTTCCCTCACCTGAGGACTTGCCCAGCCACTCATCCAACTTGTCCTTGAGACCAGTTGGGAGGTCATGCTTGGAGAATCCCAGGCCAGCGGCATACTGAATGCAGGAAGAATAGAAGCCTTTCTTGTCCATCTCGTACTTGGCAGGAGTCATGATCAGGTCTGCACAGGTAAGGATGGACATACTCAAGGCAGCTGACTTTCTGAAGTCCTGGGAAAAATAGATTGGAACAAGAACTGCCTATCAGTTTGTGGATGTTTGTGGTATAGAGAATGTGACACATAAAAATGGACTGATCTCCAAAACCAAACGACTGGTGAAGTACAGTCAGTCATGGTACACAGATGTACACAGTATGGTCAGTATGGTCCGGTCCATTATATGTATGTGGATTTCCCATCTGCACAAATCAAATGAATCATATCATATCTGCTCACCAGAACCCCACTCCTCCAGGTCGGCTTGCAACTCCTTGAGTTGCTTGCCAGCCCAAGGTTGCTCTGTTGGCAAGCCCAAAGCAGCCGTTTGGAGGGTCTTGACAAATGCCACCCATCCTGCACAGGAGTCCCTTGCAGTGGTAAGGGACTCACTGTCCGACTTGATCTCATTGTCTGGGAGTTTGAAGATGTGCTCCACGGGCTCCATCTCCCAAGACTCAGCAGCTTCGATCAAAGGCCTAGTGACATTCTGAAAAGGATTGGGCACAGAGAAGGTCAAATGTTTGGGAAAAAACTTGGGGGTGTGAAGTGTGAATGTGAAATTTGAAAGTTGCCAATAGTGTGGGTTTCATAGCACATGGCAAGTCCCATCATGACTCATCTCAGACTCGACTCTTCCCTGTAGTATCTAGTGATGAAACTCAACCCCTTCCCAAACAAGTACTGCTCTCTCCAGAATCAGACTCCACTTCTCTTGCCAAGCCAGGTTGTATTTCCAAGCAGTTGCAGTTACTGAAAGTTACAGTCACAGTCACAGTTATATACTAGTTACTATGATAGACTATGGTGACAAGCCCCCACTAATCACAATTGGACAAAGGCCTGCCCGCCTGTACTTCTCAAGATTCGAGATGAAACCGTCGAGCTCAGAGCGCTTCTTGGTAGTCCAAGCAGTGAGAGTCGTTGCAAAAAGGTCACAGAACTTGGAAATCTTGTCAGCAGTCTCCCCAGCCACCTCCTTCATGAAGACACTGTCCATGGTCAGAAACTTGGTGAAGAAAGGCAAGAACTTCTGCAATTGGTCGCGCTCCATGGGCAAGTCTGTCATGTTCAAGCATTCCGGATGGGCATTAGCGCACGCAACAAGCGTGTGGACCAGCTTGCTCACAGAGTCAGGAGTTTTGCCCAAGGTCTTGGTGACATAGGCTCCAGCAGCTTTCAGGTCAGCATGCTTTTGAACAGCATCCTTGATGAAGTCACGGGCCTGGTCTACCAGCTGATCCTCAAACCGTGTGCAAGCGGCCCGCACAGCCTCAAGAACAGGGTACTTCTTGGAATCAAAATCTTTGGCCTCTGCCAAGTGCTGGGACATGCACTGCCAGAGGTTCAAGGACTTGGTCAGTGAGGTGCCGTTCTTGGTTTCGAACTCGAAGAAGGCTTGGCCAAGCCCTGACACCAACAGTCCCAGCTGCACAGGCATCGTCTGAGAAATCTTTGCATCAACCAGGCCTGCCAAAATCAAAAACATTGACAGCTCCAAATGAAGAGAGAACCTGGAAGTACATCCTTCCCCTTTTCCCAAGTCATTTGCCCAACACAGAAGAAGAAACCAGGATCAAAGCATATCAAAGCCCTTTTCCTGGAAAGCTGGGACTAAGACTAAGACTCGACTGTGAAGTTTCTTGTTTGTTTCATGTTTGTTTTTCATTGTGCATTACAATGACATGACACTTGTTCAAATACCGATGGACCAATGTCACACTGTCCATGTCCATGGTCCATGGTTTTAGTCTAGTCTTAGTCTTGACTCGTTCAGGAACCACACAGTTGTTTGCGACCAACCATCCAACAGCGTGGAACCAGCCAAGCTGAAAAGCCTGGCCTGGCCTGTGTAGGCTGCGGCAAGGAAAATCTTGTTTGAAGCATCCTCAAACCCATCAAGCATCAGACCAGAGGACTGGACCGTCCACTGCTTCTGGCAAAATTCTTGGATGGAGGCAATGACAGTGGTGAAATCTGGCATTTGCGTCAACAGAGACTCCTTGGCATCCACCAAGGCGGAGACCGCAGCAGAATCAGAGTCAGTGAAGGTCTTGTTGGCCTCTGTGTCTGTCAGCATATTCAGGGCATCTTTGATGCCTGAAATGCTCGCCCACTTGGATGCATCAAAGTGCTCACGAGCAAGAAATGCACTTTCCAAGCTCTTCACCTGGCTAGCCAAGTCAGCCGCCTTACGCAAGGACTCCTTCATGTCAAGGGCGGTATTGGAGAGTTCAGTCGCCTTTGTCCATGAGTTCCTGGTCAGGATCCACAAATGAAGGTCAAGTGTATTGCACATCCCCCAATGAGCTACTGATGGTGAACTAAGCCCCCAAGCCAAGCACAATTGCACAACCGAATGCCTTACAGTCCCAGCTATACATAAATTATAAGTGGGCGCCTAGTCTAGTGATTAGTTACAAGTAAGTCACTCTTGCATAGAATCATACAAGAGTCATACAAGTCATACATATATGCACCTAAACTTAGAGCCACTTACTTGCACCTAGCAACCCGCTGACTCATTGTTATTGCTGTCCTGATGTAAGTGTTGGCCTTCATGATCATAGTCACCCGGGCAGAGACACTGCTTGAGCCAATGACTGTCTTGAAGTTTTTCTTCATGGAATTGCAAACAGCATCTGGGTTGGCAGCATAGCGGCAAACCAAGAGCCTCTGCAGGTCAGCCAAAGACTTGGTCACAATGCCAGTGGAGTTGTGAACCCCATCGTCAATGGGAGAAAGTGTCATTGGAGCACTGGCGGGAATGGGTGTCCTGAAACAAAAAGGGTACACTGGAATGGAGAAAGAGAAAGGCCAACAGTGAAAAGCAGGACTTGACTGAACAGCAACTTCAACATGGCGTCTGACTCTGTGACTCTGTACATATATGTGGTCAGGCCACTGCAAAAATACAGTGAGGTCAGGTCTCAAGTTATATGTTAAAGACAATTATAGAAAAAGACAGAGATAGATATAAATATAACAATATGACTGTATAATTGTATAATATATAAATATAGAGTCTCAGTATTGCAGTACCCTCAACAAAGCCTTGAAAGGGAAGTCCTCCACAACAAGTTGTCAGTGATGTCATGTCTCCAGCACTCACAGTGTTACAGACCAGGTAACTGACCAACAGGAAGCAAATGACATTTGACCAACATCATACCTTCACACTATGCCTTGGCACCATAGGCAAGTGTGGTAAGGCACATGCGAGTACATTGTGACACCCTGGCCCAGGCCTGCAAATATCTGGCAGAAACCAACTTGTAGGAATTGCCTTGATAATGAGATCGGTGCTTGGCCCCATGGATCTGAAGCGGTCCAGGAAGTAGTTGAACAGGCCTGCTTGGCACTGGAAAAGCAAAGGCATGAGCTCTGTTGAGGGTTCGTCCAGCTTCTTGTTCTCTTGAACCACATAGCTCAATCCAAACGTTTTCTGATCCTCAGACTCGTTGATGACAATGAACTTGAAAAACGTTTGGTTCTGGCCATCTGAAGCAATTAACTGATCACAAAGCTTGCGCCCAATGTCAGTGAGGAAGCTTGAGATGTCCTGGCTTGCCAGTGTCAGAGTAATGTTTGCAATCTCACAGGCATTGTCAGTCAAAAGCTGTTCGGAGTCACTGGGCAAAGATGACAAAGATTTCAGCAGGGATGACTGCTGATTGCAACGATCAACTTCCTGGGTCAGTGACGTAGCCAAATCGGTCACTGATTTGGCTTCCAACTTCAAAG